CACATGTTTACATGATTATACTTGATCAATAAATAATGTATCACATGTTTACATGATTATACTTGATCAATAAATAATGTATCACATGCTTACATGATTATACTTGATCAATATATAATGTATCATATGCTTACATGATTATACTTTATCAATATATAATGTATCACATGCTTACATGATTATACTTGATCAATATATAATGTATCACATGTTTACATGATGCTCACACAATGTCCACAGTGTCGGCCTTGAGAGCCACAGACATTGGAGTGTGACGCAGCGGAGAGGAAATAGATACACAGACTGAAAACGATAGACCCTGACGGTCTTAATGAAAAATATTCAGTGTGTATTCATTTTTTAACCCGTTGTTTTCACTTCTTTTAATAACAAACCACTTCCTGATCTCCATGTCCCCACCCCCAGAGGTCCGTTAATCGACGACCCCGTCTGCAGTGCATCACCCTTTTCTCCCTTGTTTATATATGTCTTTTAATCCTTCTTTTTTTCCTCCTTAAATCATTTTAGGCACCCCTCTACCGTATAACCACATGAAATATCTAATATTTATATCTAAATAACTATTTTAAAATATTTATTCAATATTATTTATTCAATAAGTTTTACTAACTGTATCAAACCTTGTGTGCCTTTACATTTTTGCATGTTTTAACCAAATTATTTTCCTTCTATTCCTTTATATAATTTCTTCTAGATATACACGGTAGGGGGTTTGCCACATATTAATTGAAATTAAAGCTGCGAGCAGCGATGAACGGGCCCTCGCACCTTGCCGCGTCTCGGGGGTACTGGCGGGACGCCGGCAGAATCGGCCATAAATATCTGCGACCATCAGACAGCGTGCCCACAAGTTAGACATTTTTAATGCTTGGACTGTGTGACGCTGGAAATTATGTAGTGCAAATATTCCACCAGTTCCTGTATCCACTTTGTGGCGCTAGAGAACACGCGCAAACATGCATTGTGTTGCTCTACATCAAGTATAGACCACATCATGTAAATGTCATATAAATCAGATTCAGTTTGTCACATAACGCTGTCTTCCTGTTGCCAGTAGGTGGCGCTATGACTTTGAGTGAAAATTGGCTTGTAGACATCCTCAGGCCATGACTGTTATCAAATATAGCAAGTTTGGGACATATTTGAGCAAGTCCAGTGGAGTTACATCAGGTTGTTGTTTAATAGCGAATCACCTACAATGGCCGCCACGTCACGGCTACGCCATTCTATCAAACGTAAAGCTTTGAGTAACTTTTAATTGCAAAGGTCTTTAGATTATACTGACCAAATTTGAAAAGGATCTGACAAAGTCTCTAGGAGGAGTTCGTTAAGGTATAGCGACTAGAAATCATGGGAATATTCACACAAAAATCAAAATGGCCGACTTCCTGTTCATTTTAGAGCATTATCCCAAGACAATTTTTTTAAGTCTTCATGTGATACATGTTCCTCCCAAATTTCATACATGTAGGTCAAACGTATTGCTGGGGCTGCATTTTGTGGAGTTACATCCGGGTTGTTGTTTCAAGGCGAATTACGTAAAATGGCCGCCACGCCACGGCTACGCCATTCCATCAAACGTAAAGCTTTGAGTAGCTTTTAATAGCAAAGGTCTTTAGATTATACTGACCAAATTTGAAAAGGATCTGACAACGTCCCTTGGAGGAGTTCGTTAAAGTATAGCGACTAGAAATCATGGGGAAATTCACACAAAAATCAAAATGGCCGACTTCCCGTTAATTTTAGAGCATGGTCCCAAGACACTTTTTTTTAAGTCTTCATGTGATACATGTGCCTACCAAATTCCATACATGTAGGTCAAACGTAGTGCTGGGGCTGCGATTTTGAATATTTGTAGGGGGCGCTATCGAGGCAATTTGAAAGGGTCAAGCCAAAAAGCCATATGAAATATTTATTTCCATCACCTATGACACCTGTGCAAAGTTCCAAGGCTTGTTGAGCATCCTAAGTCACAGAAAAATAAGCTTAATTTTTCATGGCGAATGACGCGTTGCCACGGCAACAGCGTTTAACGACAACTCACAATATTCATGATGAAGCATTATCAATGTCTTACAGCTTAGCTTACCAAATTTGAGACTGATCTGGGTAACTTCCTAGTCGGAGTACATCAAAGTATAAAACTTGTCATTTCCTTTTGCCAATAGGTGGCGCTATGACTTTGTGAAAATGTTGGCATGGAAATGTGCTCAGGCCTGGACCAGCATCATGCATAACTAATTTGGGGCAGATTGAATAAAGTACCTTGGAGTTACAACAACTTCCTCTTTCATGGTGAACGGCACGAAATGTGCGTGACATGGGCGCCACATAAAACGAAGGTCGTTCAATGTCAGTAGACCATTTTAGTAACTTTTCATCATTAATGTCTTTCGATCATCTTGACCAAATTTGAAGTTGATCGTATAAATTCTGTGGGAGGAGTTCGTTAAAGTATAATGCCTGAAAACGATGTAAAATGCCTAAGAATGCAAAGAAATGGAAGTATTACTGCATCACCCCCTAGTGGTTGTATGGAATAAAAATTTCAGGGTATATTACAGGACACAATGTGAACATATGCTACACATTTCGTGAGGATAGGCCACATGGTTTTGAAGTTATATATATTGCTGTAAAAGGCCACGCCCCTATGAAATTCATTGGTCCATATATTCTTAATGCAATGACATATCAATAAGCTTTTCGTAACTTTTGATTATAAAGATCCAATAATGATCCACAGCAAATTTGGTACCAATCAGACCCAGCGTGTAGGAGGAGTTTGCCAAAATGTGTTTTTCACAAAATTCAAAATGGCGGAAAATTTTGGGAGGCGGAGCTTAGGGTTCTCATTGGCTTTTTTATAGAGTAGGCGGAGCTAGACATGTGTGTCGAATTTCAAGTAAATCGGACATACTGGGTGAGAGGTGCCGCAAGGCGATGTCAGTCAGATTTCTAGGGGGCGCTAGCAAGCAATTTTGTCATGCTCGAGCATTAGACCCATAAAATATCAAATTTTCCCGCAGTCCTGATATGCTTGCCAAATATGAGGATGTTGGGGACATGATAAAGCCCCCAAAATGGTGTTTCATTGGAGAGAATAATAATAATAATAATAATAATAATTCCTACAGTTTCAATAGGGTCCTCGCGGCCCGACGTTGTCGGTCCTCGGGCCCTAATAATAATTCCTACAGTTTCAATAGGGACCTCGCGGCCCGACGTTGTCGGTGCTTGGGCCCTAAATATTAATATTTGTATCTGTAATATAACACCCTTTCATTATCGCACGCAGACAGCAGCAGCAGCAGCAGGAAGTGACGCCACACTAACACAGCTGTTCACCGCTTGCTGCCCGGTTCTTGTGTTAAAAATGCCCGCTTAATAATAATAAAAGAAAAACTGCGTTAACGCGTGATAAAATAATTGTCGGTGTTAATTAATGAATGCGTTAACGCGATAATAACACGTTAACTTGCCCAGCACTAATATTATTATTTATTTTGTATATATTTCTACTTCTTTGTGATTTAATGTATTTATACTAAGGAAACACCTATGTATTAGTGTGCTTTTATACTGTTTTATCTCAAACCAAAACCCATTGTCCCAGCCAATATTCAACCAATAAACCCCTTCTGTAAAAACTGTTATTTTTGATTTATTTTAGTTTATCTTGGACGGTACCTTTAACTTACCCAACTTTTACAGGAACCTCCACCGGTATGGAAGCCCATTTCCGCAGCAAAAAAATAAAATATAAAATAATAATAATTCTTATTATTATTTTATTTTGCTGGTGGAAATTTTTTTCAAAAAATAGACTGATTTATTTTTTTATTTTTTTTAAACTTTTTTTACACTAGCATAAAACAAAAAAACACTTTGGGTGCATCCATCTGTAACCATAACACTGACCAGATGATTCCAGTTGCTATAGAAAGTCAAAATGATGAGATACTTTAACACAGCAGTCATAGAAGCAGCTCTTCATAGTTACGATACGTTTGACATATACATGGATTGTGAGTACATTGAAGACTTCTTTAAACGTGGCTTTACAACACATGAAATACTTCATTGTTGATGTTTCACATGGATTACTGATCAAACGCACCCTTGAATAGACTTTTAAGCAAGAAGCAGCTCTGGAGTATAAAGAATAAAACCAATGTGGCTGAGGTGAAGACCTTCAATAAACAGCAACTGGAACCTTTTTTTTTTTTTTTTTTGCTGGCAGAAAAAATGTTTTAAAAAAATAAAAAATGTAAATCTTTTTTTTTCGGGGGTGGAAATGGGCTTCCATACAAACCCTAACCCAACTTGAGCACACTTGGTCGATCATAGCCTAACTTATGTATCGGAACACAACAAAGAGGACTAGGTTCTGCTATGTACTCTAAAGGTCCGTCCACACCAAGAACTAGAACCACAGAGAACCATGTGAGGATCCACGCTGATGAACAACAACGTTCTGTAAACAACATTCATAAGAATCCAATTAGAGTCGATATTCTGGAGAACCAAGATGTTAAGAAAGACTCTTTGTTAACTTTCAGTTTCAATGTTTTTGTTTCAAATAATGATTTAATCCACACTCCGGACCGGGAGGTGGCGGTAATGAGCCAATGAGGTGGAGGATAACAGAAGAAGAAGAAGAAGAATAAGAAGGAAGCCTCCAGTTCCTCGTTCCATTCGGGTCAGAAGAAGAAGAAGAAGAAGACGAAGAAGACGGAGCTTCCGTTAGCATTAGCATTAGCTTTAGCTGTGCAGTTATTATATTTGGAGACGAACGTGCGGATTAAAGTGCACACGTCACTGCTGCCGTAAGTCGACGTAACGTTTGCTTTCTGAATGTTTTAAATGTTTTAATAGAAGAAGAAGAACTTCAGAGCTAAAGGAAGCTAACTGGTGACGTCACATAGTTAGCATCAGAGCTAACAAGTGTTTATATTAAAGTTCATATTCAGACTTTTATAATGTGTTTGAAGGGTTAAACAGTAAATATTTATTATTTAGATATAACATGAACTATTCTTCAGTCACTTATTATTATTATTATTATTATTATTATATGATCATCATAAAGTAAACATTCAGTATAATAATGAGTAAAATACACAGTCTGTTAAACTAATAATTAACCAGACCAGGTGTGTCTGTCTGTTTGTCCTCAGGTGTGTCTGTCTGTTTGTCGTCCTCAGGTGTGTCTGTTTGTCCTCAGGTGTGTCTGTTTGTCCTCAGGTGTGTCTGTTTGTCCTCAGGTGTGTCTGTTTGTCCTCAGGTGTGTCTGTTTGTCCTCAGGTGTGTCTGTCTGTCTTCAGGTCTGTGTGTCTGTTTGTCTCCAGGTCCGTCCGTCAGTCCTCAGGTCCGTCCGTCAGTCCTCAGGTCCGTCCGTCTGTCCTCAGGTCCGTCCGTCTGTCCTCAGGTTTGTCTGTCTTTCCTCAGGTCCGTCTGTTTGTCTGCCTGTCCTCAGGTGTGTCTGCCTGTCCTCAGGTGTGTCTGTTTGTCCTCGGGTCCGTCTGTCTGTCTTCAGGTGTGTCTGTCTGTCTGTCTTCAGGTGTGTCTGTCTGTCTGTCTTCAGGTGTGTCTGTCTGTCTGTCTTCAGGTGTGTCTGTCTGTCTGTCTTCAGGTGTGTGTGTCTGTCTGTCCTCAGGTCCGTCTGTCTGTCTTCATGTGTGTGTGTCTGTCAGTCTGTCTTCAGGTGTGTCTGTCTCTGTCTTCAGGTGTGTCTGTCTCTGTCTTCAGGTGTGTCTGTCTGTCTGTCTTCATGTGTGTCTGTCTGTCTGTCCTCAGGTGTGTCTGTCTGTCCTCAGGTGTGATGTAGGAGACATGTTCATGTATGTCTCTCTGTCTGTCCTCAGGTGTGATGTAGGAGACATGTCTCTCCAGGTGGTGCTCCAGCAGAGGATCACCTCTGCCCAGGTGTTGCTGCAGAGGGCGGAGCTTCTGTGTCCAGGTGTGGAGGGTTACCAGAAGCTGGTTGGTAAACTGCGGGCGGAGCTGCGTTTCCTCCGGCGGGTGGAGGCCGGAGAGCTGCAGGTCAAAGAGTCCCACCTGCACAGCACCAACCTGACTCACCTGACGGCCATCGTGGAGTCGGTGGCGAGTCTGGAGGACGTGGTCGCTCTGCTGCACGTCTTCACCTACCTGGACGCCGCCGGACGCCGGCAGACGCTGGTGGTGGACGTGGTGGCGAACGGAGGACACACCTGGGTGAAGGCGGTGGGAAGGAAGGCGGAGGCTCTGCACAACATCTGGAAGGGGCGGGGCCAATACGGAGACAAGAGCATCATCAGTCAGGCTGAGGACTTCCTGTTGGCCAGCAAACAACAGGAAGTCCACTTCAGACATCCTCACGTGGTCTTCGCCTTCTACAACGGAGTCTCCTCCTCCATGTTCCACCGACTCAAGGACATGGACATCTCCGTCAGAGGGGACGTCGTCGCTGTCAACAGTGTGATGGAGGAGGAGGAGGAGGAGGAGGAGGAGCCGCCGCCGCCGCCGCCGCCGCCGCCAGCTGAAGGTAACGAGGAGGAGGAGCCAGCTGAAGGTAACGAGGAGGAGGAGGAGGAGTCTGAAGATAAAGAGGAGGGGTCTGAAGAGGAGGAGCTGACCCAGGTGGACCGATCCACGGTGGTGGTCAGCTTGGCGTTCCCCATCCAGGTGAAGGTGGAGGAGTGTCATTGCGTGAACCTCGACATCACGACGCTCATCACGTATGTGTCATCGCTGAGTCACGGACGATGTCACTTCTCGTTCCGGGAGCCGGTGCTGACGGAGCAGGCGGCTCAAGAGCGCCTGCAGCCGGTTCTGCCTCAGCTGGACGACTTCCTGTTTGGTAAACAGCTGTTCGTCTGTCGCTCCGCCGTCCAAGACTTCCAGCTGATCCTGGACACGCTGGGGGGGGCGGGCGAGAAGGAGCGCGCTCAGACGCTGCTGGCTCGAGTCCGCCTGGTGGACGACCGGCCGTCGGAACGCACGCTGCGCCTCACGCACAGCGCCAAGGTCAACCGACGCTCGCTCGCCATCTTCGGCACCGGAGACTCGCTGAGAGCTGTCACCGTGACGGCAAACAGCCGATTCGTCAGGGCGGCGGCCAATCAGGGCGTCCAATACAGCGTGTTCATCCACCAACCGAGGGCTCTGACCGAGGGCAAGGAGTGGAGGGCCACACCCATCTAGGGACTTCCTGTCTAGGGGGACTTCCTGTGCCGGGCTGATGGGAGTTAATAATCATGTAAATAGATCAGTCTGTTGAATTACATCACAATAAAGTGTCACAGTCAATTCCTGCTCTGCTGTCGTTTGTTACACGAGGTCACATGGTGTCAGGGGGGAGGGGGCTAGAGCGGGTCGCTTCAGTCACAAGGGTTCATCCCAAGTCTCTTAACTGCATCCCCGTTTGCGTCCACTTGCGTCCTTTCCTTGCGTCTTAGTCCCTCCCACCAGGGATGCATGGAGGAAACCATGCGAGGAGAGAGGAGACGAGGAAATATGTTTTAGGAGACATGAGACGTCCTTTCCTCAGTTGCGTCACGTGAAGCGATGTCTGTTTCTGATGACAGTGCTGATGATCACAGCTGATCAGCTGTCAGTCGGCTTTAACAGCTGGAGAGACTTTTGATAAGTTGGTGTCTGTTCACATGATCACTGTACTTAATAGTAACTAATAACACTAATCACTAATAAAGACACAGTGATCACCACTGTAGAGGTGTTTCTCTCTGTAGTCTGTTAAACTGTTCTGTGTGTATGTATATGGGTTAGGGTTAGGGTTATGTATATGTCTTCACTTTTTACATGTTGAAAACAATCTCATCAATCCGATCGGCTGCAGTGTCCAATCACATGACTGATGAACAATGAGGGGGCGTGTCGGCCGTTAAAACACTTCCTGGAAGTCTGTTCTCGTGGGTCCTCGGAGATCCCTCCTCCCTCCTCGCTCCTCAGAGCTAAATAAGAGCTTTTGGGACGTCAGCGTTAGTGACCAATAACTTTTATTTAAACAGGGGATTTTGTGACAAAGCGTGCTTCTGACCACGCCCCCATCAGTGATGTCACAGCAGTGGTGGTCACAACCTGCTATAACTTTTTCAGTGGGCGTGGTCAGTATCTGCTGTGGCATCACTGAAGAGGGTGTGGTCAGTCAACGCTTTGAGACTAAAATACCTGTCTCAGTGACGTCATCAGATACTTCAGCCGTTGGCTTCTGATTAGCTCATTCGTTGCCGTGGAATCGCAGACTTTATTGGAAGAATAATGAAAAAAGGACCAAAGATGGAGCGAGCAGCCAATCAGGCTTCAGGACTGATGTCCCCTTTAAAAAGCTGTTAGCCAACAATGCTAACATGGTTATGCTCAGTAATTAAAGTGGCAATCCTGAAGATTTTCATTTCAATAAATGTTCAGTTGGTATCTGTAACACAATATTTATAGTGAAGTGATGTTCACATGTTAACTCTGACCCCCGTAGAGTCCTTGTCTCTGAAATAATAATTATTATTTATATTTATTTACAGAAGGAATAGATTTCGAACAGCTCCGACAGCTTGTTCCTCGTCTACTTTGACATCAATGTGAGTTTTTCATTGTGATGTTAAGACTTGAGGCTGATGGACTTTAAGCACAACTTCATGTTTTTTACTGAAATAGAAAGGTGACGCATATTATTATTATTATAACCAGTTAGACCAGTGAGATCAGTTAGACCAGTTAGACCAGTGAGATCAGTTAGAAACGTCTTCTTCTACTTTAATCATTTCTGCACTTTAACCGATTAAATAAATAAATCTTAATCTACTTTAGATTCCCCTCTTCTGTTTCCTTAACACCCGGTCACCACTTCACCACTTCGAATGTTTAGTTCACAGATGACTTTAAATGGTTTCAGGGACATTTTCACTCTCAAAGCTTCGTTTTCAGAAAAAAAGCTGTAAAAAGTCACTTTACATGTTTATTCTTCCCAAATGAAATGACTTTACAATCATTACGGACTACGACAGCCACAGATACCCGACTTCTTATTTGCTTTTGTCAGAGCATTTTTTGCTGTCGGGAGATAAAAATAATTATTTTATTTATGGGTCAAATGTTCAACTTATATTACAGGTCCCCTCTAACTTGTAATGTTAAAAAAAATATATTTTTGATTGAAGCACAAATTCAGGGGTTCACCTCAAATTTGTGGATAATGATAGATAAACCCAAAAATAGAGGATAGGGTGACACAAAGACTCCTAAATAAGTTTAACATATCAACATATTATCCATTCATTATCTTCTCTGCTTATCTGGGGTTGGACCCACTACCCCCCATGTGTTCCTAGACCAGATATAGAATCTCCCCAACGTGGTCTGGGTCTACTGGGCCGATCTTATTCTTTCTGTCTCGAACCAAAGCTCATGACCACAGGTGAGGATCTGAACGGAGACGGACTGCTATTTCTAGAACTTTGTCTTCTGGCTCAGCTCCGTCTTCACAACAGTCCAATACAACGTCTTCATCACTGCTGACGCCGAACCGAACCTCCATCTCACGCTCCCTTTGACCCTCACAGGTGAACCAGACCGAGATCCTTGAACTTCCTCCCTCTCTTTGAGCTGAGACTCAATCCCAAACCAGGACCTCAGACTTGGAGGTTCTGACTCTCATCCGAACTGCTTCACACTCTTCTACAAACCGCCTCAGCACTGCTGAAGGTCACGTTCTGAAGGATCCACAGAACCACATCATCTGCAAAAAAACGAGACGCAATTCTGAGGTCCTTAAACTGGACTCTCTCTCCCCAAAGAAGTCATAGTATAGCATATCAAAAAAAGTGATATTGTATTTGTTCTCATGACAAACTTTATTCATCTTAACAAACTGAACATCTGTCTCACACATGAAATCTGTTGAATCCACAACTCGCTGCGTTTCTTCACAGTGTTTGTGGTGGTGGAGCGTCGTCCCTGAGTGGACTGAAGCTGTCAATCTGTTTGACAATCCTCTCAGCGATGGTTCTGCTGTTGGCAGCAACAATTCTTCTGGACATCAGGTCCACTGCTCCTCCTGAACACACAATGTTTTAATGCCTATCTCCTCCATTAAAATCAACAGAAACACTGAAGTTCTCTTTGAGTATCTTTACCCTCCACGTCCATGAGGACTCCTCCAGCCTCTGAGACGACCAGAGATCCTGCAGCGACGTCCCAAACGTGGATCCCGATCTCATAATACGCTTCAACACAACCGGACGCCACATGACACATGTTGATTGCTGCAGTTCCTGCACCGCGCACCCTGGAAACATGCATATACTGTCAAAACTACACACCAATTACAATATCAGTAAATTACTGCAGTATCGGTAATATTACCCGTGTACAGGGATGCAGAGAACACTCCTCAGGCTCGAGAAGATTTTCTCTACAGCTTCAGGGTCTCTGCTGGATCCAAACTCTGTGGCAATGATCGACTGTTTAATGTCTAACAGTAAAAAAGAAATGGGTCAGATTGTGGCCTCAGTCTAGATCAGAGCATCATGACATCACATTCTGTTCCTGTACGTTTTTGGTTGTCCTCAGATACATCTAGTGATGAAGAGACGTGTGTTATTGATTACTGACCTTCCCGATCAGAAACCTGCAGTGGCTCTCCGTTACAAAACGCTCCCTTCCCCCTCCTCGCTGTGTACATCTTATCTTCCAAACAACTGTAGATCACACCGAACTCCATCTGAAAGAGGAAGGACAGCTGTAGAGCTGCAGGTCATACTAGAGTAAGTCAGAGTGAAACAGGTCATAGTAATGTAAGTCATAGTATTGTAAGTTTTAATAAGTAGGTCATAGTACACTCCTCCGCGAATCGCCACCGTATCGTGGTGGAGGAGTTTGAGTGGCTCAGTGATCCTGGGAGCTATGTTGTCCGGGGCATTAGCCCCTGGTAGGGTCTCCCAAGGCAAACAGGTTTAAGGGGAGAGCCCAGACTAAGAGCGGTTCAAAACGACCCCTATGATAGTTAGCCCACGGACTATAGCCACCTCGCCCGGACCAGCAAACCGGGGTACCCTCCCGGAGCCAGAACCAGGAGGGGAGCTCGTAGGCGAGTGTCTGGTGGCCGGGCCTTTGCCCATGGGGCCCGGTTGGGCTCAGCCCGAATAAACACCATGGAGCAGCCACCCTGTGGACCCACCACCCGCAGGGACAAGCATCGGGGTCGGGTGCTATGCAGACCGGGCGGCGGGTCGGGCGGGAGGCCCGGGCATGCCGATCGCCAGCGGCATAGACTAGCTCTAGGGATGTGGAGCGTCACCTCGCTAGTGGGGAAAGAGCCGGTGCTGGTGCAGGAGGTGGAGCGATACCAGCTAGAAATAGTTGGACTCACCTCCACACACAGCATTGGCTCTGGAACCAAGCTCCTGGAGAGGGGTTGGACTTTGTCCTTTTCCGGAGTTGCCCAGGGTGAGAGGCGCCGGGCAGGAGTGGGGATACTCACGAGCCCCCGGCTGAGCGCCGCTGTGTTGGAGTTCTCCCCGGAGAGCGAGAGGGTCGCCTCCATGCGCCTATGGGTTGCGGGGAGCAAGGCTCTGACTGTGGTTTGTGCTTATGCACCAAACAGCAGTTCGGAGTATCCGGCCTTCTTGGAGTCGGTGGGAGGGGTCCTGGAAAGGATGCCGCCTACCAACTCCATAGTTCTCCTGGGGGACTTCAACGCTCACGTGGGCAATGACGGAGAAACCTGGCGGGGGGTGATTGGTAGGAACGGCTTGCCCGATCTGAACCCGAATGGTGTTTCATTATTGGACTTCTGTGCTTGCCATGGTTTGGCCATAACGAACACTATGTTCGAACATAAAGTGGCTCATAAGTGTACCTGGTACCAGAACACCTTAGGCCGGAGATCAATGATCGACTTTGTAATCGTATCATCTGATTTGCGGCAGTATGTCTTGGACACTCGGGTGAAGAGAGGAGCAGAGCTGTCAACTGATCACCACCTGGTGGTGAGTTGGATCAGATGGCAGGGGAACCGGTTGGAAAGATCCGGCAAACCCAAACGTGTAGTGAGGGTAAACTGGGAACGTCTGGCGGAGGACCCTGTCCGGGAGGTCTTTAACTCCCACCTCCGGAAGAACTTCTCACACATCCCGAGGGAGGTTGGGGACACGGAATCCGAGTGGACCATGTTCAAAGCCTCTATTGTGGATGCGGGCGCTAGGAGCTGTGGCCGGAAGGTCATCGGTGCCTGTCGTGGCGGCAACCCGAGAACCCGGTGGTGAACACCGGAGGTGAGGGAAGCCGTCAAGCTGAAGGAGACCTTCAAGGCCTGGTTGGCCCAGGGGTCTCCTGAAGCAGCTGACTGGTACCGGCAGGCCAGAAGGGCTGCAGCTGCGGTGGTCGCGAATGCTAAAACTCGGGCATGGTAGGAGTTCGGGGAGGCCATGGAGAAGGACTTTCGGTTGGCCTCAAGGAGGTTCTGGCAAACCATCCGACGGCTCAGGAAGGGAAAGCAGGGCTTACCCCAGGCTGTTCTCAGCAGGGGGGGGGGGAACTGCTAACCCGGACGGAGGACATCGTCGGGCGGTGGAAAGAGCACTTTGAGGAACTCTTAAACCCGACCAACATGTCCTCTGCAGAGGAGGCAGCGCCTGAGGACCTAGGGGGAGGCTCACCCATATCCCTGGCAGAGGTTGCTGAGGTAGTTAAAAAGCTCCTTGGTGGCAAGGCACCAGGGGTGGATGAGATCCGCCCTGAGATGCTGAAGGCGCTGGACATAGTTGGGCTGTCCTGGCTGACACGCCTCTTCAATGTCGCATGGGGGTCGGGATCAGTGCCCATGGACTGGCAGACCGGGGTGGTGGTTCCCATCTTCAAAAAGGGGGACCGGAGAGTGTGCTCGAATTACCGGGGTATCACACTACTCAGCCTCCCGGGGAAGGCTTATGCCAGGGTGCTGGAAAGGAGGCTCCGACCGCTTGTCGAACCTCAGATTCAAGAGGAGCAGTGCGGATTCCGTCCCGGCCGTGGAACAGTGGACCAGCTCTTTACCCTCGCAATACTACTGGAGGGGCTCCGGGAGTTTGCCCAACCCGTCTACATGTGCTTTGTGGACTTAGAGAAGGCTTTCGACCGGGTCCCTCGGGGGGTCTTGTGGGGGGTGCTGCGGGAGTATGGGGTGCCGGTCCCGTTATAACGGGCGATCCGGTCTCTGTGCGACTGCAGTAGGAGCTGTATCCGCATTCTCGGTAATAAGTCAGACACGTTCCCGGTGGGTGTTGGCCTCCGCCAGGGCTGCCCTTTGTCACCGGTCCTGTTCGTGATTTTCATGGACAGGATATCTAGGCGCAGCCTGGGGGCGGAGAACGTCAGTTTCGGGGGTCTCGGGATCGCCTCTCTGCTATTTGCAGATGATGTGGTCCTGTTAGCCTCCTCGGATCATGACCTCCAGCATTCACTGGGGCGGTTTGCAGCCGAGTGTGAATCGGCGGGGATGAGAGTTAGCACCTCCAAATCTGAGGCCATGGTTCTCTGCCGGAAACCGGTGGATTGCTCCCTCCAGGTGGGGACGGAGTGCCTACCTCAAGCGAAGGAGTTTAAGTATCTTGGGGTCTTGTTCACGAGTGAGGGTAAGATGGAGCGGGAGATCGACAGGCGGATCGGTGCGGCTGCAGCAGTAAAGCAGGCGCTGCACCGGACCGTCTTGGTGAAGAGGGAGCTGAGCCGGAAGGCAAAGCTCTCAATTTACTACTCGGTCTACATTCCTACTCTCACCTATGGTCACGAACTCTGGGTCGTGACCGAAAGGACAAGGTCGTGGCTATAAGCGGCCGAAATGAGTTTCCTCCGTAGGGTGGCCGGGCTCAGCCTTAGAGATAGGGTAAGGAGCTCGGTCATCAGGAGGGAACTTGGAGTCGAGCCGCTACTCCTTCGCTTCGAAAGGAGTCAGCTGAGGTGGTTCGGCATCTAATTAGGATGCCTCCTGGACGCCTCCCACTGGAGGTTTTCCAGGCACGTCCAACTGGGAAGAGACCCCGGGGAAGTCCCAGGGGAGATTACATCTCCCAGCTGGCCTGGGAACGCCTCGGGATCCCCCAGAATGAGCTGGAACATGTTGCCGGTGAGAGGGAGGTCTGGGTCGGCCTGCTGCCACCGCGACCTGACCTCGGATAAGCGGTGGAAAATGGATGGATGGATGGATGGTCATAGTACAGTAGGTCAGAGTATTGTAAGTCATAGTATAGTAGGTGATAATATAGTATGCTATAGTATAGTAGGTTATAGTACACTAGATTTTAAAACGTAGGTCATAGTAAGTCATAATATAGTCAGTCACTAGGGAGAAGATTTGTCAAATTTTTCATGGGCGCAACCCACATACTCAGTTCTGCTGCTCATCCCACAAATGCATGTTCCTTACAAATGTGGCACCGTTTAAACAGGCTTTCCAACGGTATAAGACTTATTGCCAAGAAGCATTGTTACAACAAAAAATAGTCTACCAAACACTAATTTCCTTACTAGTGACCTACTATACTGTGACCGACTAGTATAGTAGGCCACAGTATAGTAGGTCACAGTAAGGTAGGTCACAGTATAGTAGGTCACAGTAAGGTAGGTCAGTATATAGTAGGTCAGTATATAGTAGGTCAGTATATAGTAGGTCACAGTATATAGTAGGTCACAGTATAGTAGGTCACAGTATAGTAGGTCACAGTATAGTAGGTCAGTATATAGTAGGTCACAGTATAGTAGGTCACAGTATAGTAGGTCACAGTATAGTAGGTCAGTCTATAGTAGGTCACAGTAAGGTAGGTCACAGTATAGTACGTCACAGTAAGGTAGGTCACAGTAAGGTAGGTCACAGTATAGTAGGTCACAGCATAGTAGGCCACAGCATAGTAGGTCAGTACATAGTAGGTCAGTATATAGTAGGTCACAGTATGGTAGGTCTGTATATAGTAGGCCACAGTATAGTAGGCCACAGTATAGTAGGCCACGACTTGGACTAAAAGTTGAACTCACCTGTTTGTTGACAGAAAATCCGATGGAAATAGCAACAAAAGGAAATCTGTTAAAGAGACAATTATGTATTTATTGGAGGTAATAAATTGTTAATAATAATAATAATAGTAGTAACCAGAAATAAAAGTAAACGCCTCCACCAACCAGTCAAGTTAGAAATTACATCCATCTCTGTTCAAAATTTCATCACTTCATCATGTTATGCTTTTAGACTATGTTTGATTTTTTTATAAAACTCACGCATGAACAAAGTTGGTTGTCCCATCGATGGGGTCGATGATCCAGGTGGGACGGTCAGTGAGGACACAAGGTTCACCTGCAGCTACAGACTCTTCCCCTATGAAGCTGACACACACACACACACACACACACACACACACACACACACACACACA